GCTACTCAGACTTACAGGTTGAGTCCTTTACTCCATGTTTCCTTCATGTATATTGTATACGGCTTTTCCTGCCTTACATACTCGGTACTTTATTTGTACCGATGTCCCTTTTGCTTGGGAACGCTGTGTTTCATGCTCGCAGGTCCAGATACACAGGTTGAGAGTCCTCCAAGTAGGCTATCAGGTATCAGTTCAGCGGAAGGTGTTGGTGCGCTCCATTTGCTCCGGAGTTGCTTATCTGGTCAGTATGATTTGGACATGTATTGATTGGTATAGTGGGGCCCTGTCCCGACCTTTATGGCATTTATCTACTCTTAGAGGCTTGTAGACATATGTCATATATATGGATACTTGTATAGCCTTGTCGGCCTATGTTTTGAGTATATAAAGGATCATGTCGGTCTTGTAGGTCTATATGTCATATGTATAAGTCGGTATATCATGTTGGGTCATTCTATGTCGAGTATTCCCTCATGCTTTATTCTAGTTATCTCATGACAGACTTTTTGGTTCATTTACCTATGATAATATGATAGAAAAGATATGCTATGTTGGTATTCGGTTGAGTAAGGCACCAGGTGCCCGTCGTGGCCCATTGGTTTGGGTCGTGACAGCCTTGCAGCCGATACTACTGACGCAGTGCGTACTATATTCACTTCTCCAGCCACTCCCAAACTTAATGATATTTAGTTGGCTGAGCCAACTAGGACTGATGATGCTGGGGACACAGTGATGACAAAGGACTTTTAGGGAGTTTCTTCTCCCTCTCTACTTTTGCTCTTATTTTTTTAAGCATTGGGGACCATGCTTATTTTTATTCGGGGGAGGGGGCGGAGCTTATTTGATACTCATTTGATACATTTGGATACATTAGAATGTAATAATTAGATGATTCTTTTTTATTTTTATTTTATCTATCTTTAGTAGTTGTTACTTTTATTAGCTTCTTTATTTGTTTACTTTAAATTTGTTTATATTAGTAGTTTCTTTTATGTTAGTAGTTTTTATGTTTTTCTTAAGTAGTGTGGATAATAAGCCTTTGGTTTTCTTAATGCCACGGTTATTTTCAAAGGCGGTCTTTTGTGTGAACCGAGTGACTCTTTCCCCGTATGGATAGTGTGACAACTTTCTTAAGAGAATGAGTCCGTTTTGTGTTTAGGTAATAGTAGTAGTAATGAATAAAAGCCTTAATCAAGACGTTCTCTAGAAAGAGTTATTCATGCTTCATTTAGCACCAACACACTTAACTACATGCTTATGGTTTGAAACAAGGTTTTTGAAAGAAAATAGCTCTAGTTAGTGACTTTGAGGTTCTTGAGTTGTTTATATTAGGAGAGGGACAACGAACCCTAGAGAGCTCTCCTTCGGCGATTTTGGCGATTGAGAGGCGATCTCCGATGATAGCCCTTTATGGCCAACTTGGTCGGCGGCCAGCCATCCTCCATGGCTGTTCTGCCTTTCCCAACCAAATACACCATCCAACAATCCTGACACAAACACTACTAAACCCCTAAATTACTTGAATCTTTTGAAACCTAGTTCTCAAGTCGCGCCTATTCCTGTTAAGCCAGTTCAATTTTTGCATGGAGAACCTATCATCAAGTGGACAGAAGCTGAAGTATATTGTATGAACATTATAGAAGGACTTTAATATGCAGTGGTTGGCAAGTTTTCATACGGCTGGCCTAAATTACAAGAGCTACGAAAAATAATTCCTTCTCAATGTGGAAGGTTGAATGTAACGATGGTTTTTTAAGAGACAGACATGTTCTCGTTAGATTGACACAGTGGGAAGAAAATGTGAATTAACTTCAAGGGGAGTCTATTACTTGAAAGCAAAAGATTGGTATCAATATCAAATGCGTCCATTAATTTATGATTCAAAGTTCAAAGTTAATGAGGAATGTTACGTAAAGACTAAAAGTGTCACTTTATGAAATGACGGATTTGGTGCGGTTGCGTCGTTTTCTTGCTTTTTTCTCTCATCTTGCCCTTCCTTATTATTAATTTAATCATATTTTATCATTTATCCTACTTTTTTATATAAATTTTTTACTGTGTATCCTATTTTTTCTTAGTAATGTTGCAAGTTTATTCTTCATATTGTTAGTACGTGACATCATGAAACAACGTCAAACGATACAATCTATCCAAATATTATATTCATCAAACAATACAATATAATACGGTACAATACAATACGATACATTATGAAACGACATGTAACGACAATCCAAACAAGTTGTAAGTGATTGACAATATAATTTCATAAATTTCTTCATGAGTGTACAAGAAATGGTAAGGGAGTTTATATTAAGAGTACACTCTATAACTGTTTTGCGCTACTTAATTCTTGCACGTTACTAATATTTATTACATTGATTACCCATAATATGATAATAACAGCTAATCGCGCATAATGTCGATTTCTTTCCATATTCACGGCTATTAATCAACCTTCCTTCCTCGTGGTCTTTAATTATCCATCCCGCACATATCTCTTCTTTTCCAGCTGTCAGGTACAGTATCCTTGTAAGCAATCCCGTGGGTGTTTTACCCATGCTTCCTCTAACCTTCACTCTTCTTTATCGTTTTGATTCTTATGCCAGGTGTCAGCATATTGTTAGTCCACGTGATAAATTTATTTTCCACCAATACAATATTCTATGTCAATTGTCAAACCAAATAGAGATAAAATGGTAGATGAGTTATAAGTGAGCTATCGCAAAAATTACCCCTTAACCATTTCATTGCTGCAACTATTGGTTGTGTGTGTGTGTTGTG